GTTTTATGAATCAAAGTCGTGCTGACAATCTTCGAACCATTCGTCGGTTTTATTCATTCAATCACACATAGAACAACAGAAAAACAAAAGAACAGGAAAAATAGAAAGAGTGGAAAGTGTATGAGGAAGTTGTGTCCGAACATAGACAAAGACGATGGGTTGGAGACGGTCTTGGAAGTTCCGATACCGGAAGAGATGTTTTCCGGTATGGGTAACAACATCGCTATGAGATGGCAGAACATGATGACATGGATGAAAGCTCAAACCTCTGATAAATGGTCACAACCATTAATCGCTGCTCGTATCAACGAGCTTCGTTTTCTTCTTTATCTCGTTGGCTCTCCTCTTATACCTCTCCAAGTTCAAGTTGGTCACTCTGTTCATAAACCCGTCAAAGATTGTTCCATTGTAAGTTTTTGGGTATGATTGGTGATATACAATATTATGTTTTTCAGCAATTAAATAAAATTGTAAGCGGTTACATGATAAAAGAAAACAATACCAAAAATTGAATGTAACGCTTTTGATACCGTTTTGTGACTAATAACCATTGAAACAATATATATTTGTACCTAACCGTAATAAAATTACCAATCAAACCTAGTAACTCTTCAATCTTACATAAAAGATGCGATCAAATCTAATTTCTTTGATTTCGATCAATTGTAGCAAGCTTCGACGGCGAAATACATAGTGCAACAATACATAGCGGCGACGGGAGGACCGGCAGCGTTAAACGCTGTGAATAGCATGTGTGTAACCGGACAAGTGAAGATGACGGCATCAGAGTTTCATCAAGGAGATGATTCCGGTGCTAATCTTAAGAGCAATGACGAGATGGGTGGTTTCGTTTTGTGGCAAAAAGATCCAGATCTTTGGTGTTTGGAGCTTGTTGTCTCTGGTTGTAAAGTTATATGTGGAAGCAATGGTCGGCTTTCATGGCGACATTCTTCTAATCAACAAACTCCGGCGTCTACTGGACCACCGAGACCTCTACGGCGTTTTTTACAGGTATCAATCCAATTTTTGAAAGAAAAATAAATTTGATGTGATTTTGGTTATATTAGACCGACTCTTTTTTTATTGTATTGTTATTAGGGTTTAGATCCACGATCGACGGCGAATTTGTTCCTCGATGCGACGTGTATCGGAGAGAAGGTAATCAACAATGAAGATTGCTTTATCTTGAAACTAGAGACGAGTCCGGCAATTCGAGAAGCGCAGAGCGGTCCTAATTTTGAGATTATTCATCATACGATTTGGGGCTATTTTAGCCAGAGATCGGGATTATTGATTCAATTTGAAGATTCGAGGCTTTTGAGAATGAGAACGAAGGAAGACGATGACGTTTTCTGGGAAACTAGTGCTGAATCGGTGATGGATGATTACCGATACGTCGATAATGTGAACATTGCTCACGGTGGAAAAACGTCGGTTATAGTTTTTCGATACGGTGAAGCGTCAGCGAATCATAGGAGACAAATGACGGAGAAGTGGCGGATCGAAGAGGTTGATTTTAATGTATGGGGTCTCTCAGTGGATCATTTTCTTCCTCCCGCCAATTTGCAGATCGAAAAATGATTAGTTTATTTTGTCATTCTATTTTTTTCCATCGAAATTTATGAATTTTTTTGTTAGCTTTTAACTGTTTAACTCCTAAAATTTTCATACACACATATATAAAATTAAAAGAATCTTAATAAACATCAAATTTGTGGTTTACTGGCATTACTCAATTTATTTATCATGTAATTAACAGGAATTCTAAAACGAATTTTTTAGTTTAGGGTTAATGATATTTGTAGAAGTGTCTAACGAGCACAACATTGTTTTCTGTGTGCTAATCTTTAGATTACAATACTTATATCAATGTGGGCTTTTTCCTATATATAATGTGATACCTTTTTCTTGGCATTGAGAATAGTTTTCTTTCACGGCTTAGGGT